GAGCAGCTGCTGCTTGTAAAAGCTCCCAAAGCAGGGCGGGTCCCACGGCAGAGACTTGCAGTCGGAGATGCAGCCGATGATGCAGGAGCGGGCAAAGCCGACCACGAACCCGTATGATGCGAGGGCTGGTCCGAAATCTGCGTAGTCCTCGACACCGCCGTGCTGATCCCATCCCACGTCGTCGCCAAAGCCATGCGCAAAGGCGATGTAAGGGAAGCGCTCGTCGGATGCGCCGACCGGGATGACGACGTCGATGTTCGGACCAGTGAAGTCGAGCGACTCGACCTGAAACTTCGCCTGCCCGACAGGGGAGGGGCCGCGCGACACCGATAACTTGGAGGCCGGGGGGGGGGGGCTAGAGGCTGACTCTGGTCGACGCTGCGTCTCTGCAGTGCTGCATCAGGTGTATGCTCATCGCGGCTAGTGAGCTCGGCTGTCTCTCGGCTGTCTCTCGGCTGCATCTGATCTCAGCTCTCTCTCGCCGCCACTAGAGATGTGCCGCAGCCTCATCTCGGCTGCATCTCGGCTGTCTCTCGGCTGTCTCTCGGCTGTCTCTCGGCTGTCTCTCGGCTGTCTCTCGGCTGTCTCTCGGCTGCCTCTCTGCTGTCTCTCGGCTGCGGTGTGGCCGTCTGGATGTGGCAGAGCCGCGGGACCATATCTCCCCCTATCTCCCCCTATCTCCCCATATCTCGCCGTCTGGATGTGGCAGAGCCACGGGCCCATATCTCCCCATATCTCCCCATATCTCCCCCTATCTCGCCGTCTGGATGTGGCAGAGCCACGGGCCCATGTAGGGGGACCAGTAGGGCATGAAGGGCTTGACGAAGTGCTCCTGTTCACGGGGGCGGAGGTGTGAAGATAGGCGCTGTTCACAGCCAGGGGCGTGTGGGGATCGGGGCGGGGGGAAGGGATCTCGGGTTTCGTGTGGCTAATACTTGCCTTTCGGCGAGGGCCCTCAGGACGCCGAGCGCAGTGCCGACGGCTAGACGACTTCCTCTCCTCCCTCGAGGCAGCGGCCAGTCACCTTGGGCACAGG